AAAGTCAGTCTTTAATGTTTTTTTCCTCTTTTGGAAGGTCTTTTAAAAACTTGTTCATACTTTGAGATTGCTAGTTAGAGGTTAACTGGAGTTGGGACTTTTAAAAAGTCTTATAAAATAGACACATAAAAATTAAAATTTCACAGGAATTTAAATGATATTAGAATCATATCATGTGCAAATCACAAGTTTACTGTGAATATATGTATACATTTCTGTTTTAACGTATGTACACATAAATACTCAAGGGTTACACATCTATACCCTTTATTGTACTTGATGGTAATTAATCATATGTGTCAGATATTTAATATAAATCATTATTTAGTATTACTGTTCATAGTTTTATATGGCCACACTTAGGTTTCTTTCTTCTACTTCATTTATTAGCTGTTATCTATCATGAAATGTTAGGGTTAACAAATTTTTCTTTTTTTCTTTTTTTTAATTGTACTTTAAGTTCTGGGGTACATGTGCAGATCATGCAGGATTGTTACATAGGTACATACATGGCAAGGTCGTTTGCTGCCTTCATCCTCCCATCACCTATATCTGGTATTTCTCTCCACGTTATCCCTCCCCACCCCGTGTTGTCCCTCCTCTAGCCCCCCCCCCCAACTGACCACAGTGAGTGATGTTTCCCTCCCTGTGTCCACGTGTTCTTGTTGTTCAACACCTGCCTGTGAGTGAGAACATGCAGTGTTTGGTTTTCTATTCTTGTTTCAGTTTGCTGAGGATGGTGGTTTCCAGATTCATCCATTTCCCTATAATGGACACAAACTCATCGTTTCTTATGGCTGTGTAGTATTCCATGGTGTATATGTTCCACATTTTCTTTATCTAGTCTATCGTTGCTGGACATTTGGGTTGGAACACATTTTTGTTAATTTATGTCATTTAATTATAATCATACACTTACTGACAGTTTCAATTTGAAAGACAAAGACTTAGCTCTTCTACAGCATCCCATGGCTTTAAACATTCTGTGTTCTGCTCACACCCTCCAGCTTCAGGTTGATTTTATCTCTTATCTGAAATGTTTGTGACCATAAGTGTTTTCAGATTTCTGATTTTCGGGGGATTTGGGAGTATTTGCATATACACAGTGAGAGATTGTGGGGATGGAACCCATGTTCTAAACATGAAATTCATTTATGTTTTATATACACTGCGTATACACCGCCCAAAGGTGATTTTATACAATATTTTAAGTAATTTGTACATGAAATAAAGTTTTGACTCTAACCTGATGCATGAGGTCAATTGTGGAATTTACTTGTGACATCATGTTTCAGAGTTTCAGAGTTTGTAGAATGTTAGATTTCAGATTTTTGGATTAGAGTAGTCAAACCTGTATTCTCATTATATGCCTTGGCTTCCTTTACTGAAGCATCGCTTTCCTCTATACGCAGCATGCTTGAAGAATTCATCAGTTGTGCCTGATATCTTTCTGCCTTTTTGCCGGAGGGCTTGGCATAGCAGACATTATAGGCCATAAGGTTATAGATTCAACTTGTTTAATAGTGATACATTACTGTGCTTAGAGTTGGGATGGGAAATCTAAGCTGTGGGAGACCCATAACAAATAGAAGGGGAAAAAGTAGTGAAGTATATTTGTATTTGAATTTGATCCTGCGTGTATGTTACTTTTTGGTGAGAGGATTAAGAGTTATAGGAAATATTAATGTTTTAGAGATTATCTTTGTCAGCCCTTTGTTTTACTGAGGGCCACAATGAATAAATGACTTTACTTAAGGGAACATACCCAGTTAACAGTGAAGCCAGGATCATGCAGGGAATTCCTAACTTCACATCAAATACTCTTACTATTGTTAGAAGTTTTATATTAAAAAAATTACCATAACTGATAGATCTCCCTCCCTTAGAAAAGTTTGATAATTTCCATACAGCCACAGTAATTGCTCACTTAGAATCCACCCAAGACAAATGAAAGTATATGTCCACAAAAATATTGTACCAAAACGTTTGTAGCCACATTATTCATAATAGACAAAAAATGGAAACAACCCAGGGTAATCTGTCAGCTGATGGGTAAGCAAAATGAGGTATATCTATGCAATGGAGTGCTGTTCCAGCCTAAAAAGAAGGGAATGTTGTTATATGTTATGACATGAATAAACCTTAGAAACTTTATGCTTAGTGAAGGAAATCAGACACAAAAGATTACATATTACAGGCTAATTATATGAAATGCCCAGAAAAGGAAATTTGTAGAGACTGAAAGCAGGAGTGAAAAAAGGACATGTCAGAATTACGAGTACTTTGTATTCTAGCTTCATATCCTGATAAAAGGTTCTATAACTACTCTTAGGCTACTTTTCTAGTATAATCTTCCATATTCTTCACTTACCAGTTGAACTTTGTGCTTATTGAAGTTCTGTTGTATTAAACCTATTTATTCTAATTGTACTTCTTATTAATATATAATTTAATATTGTGTGAATCTATAAAATCTTATGAAAATAGTTTTTTATTTGGCAAGCTAGATTGAATGCTTTGGAAAGACTTCATAAAAGCAAATGGCTACATACTGGTTTGAATTAAGTATAGGTAATTTAAAACATTGGAGTGAAAATATTGAAAAAAGAACTTGCAAGATTTTACATTCAGCTTACTTCACAAATGCCTCTAGTTCTTGCTTCAGCTTAATGAAACTGAACTAGGCATGCTAGACAATTTATTATGTATGAATGTTTATAAGTACACAATCTTTTTTTTTTGAAATGGGGTCTTGCTCTGTCACCCAGGCTGGAGTACAGTGCCATAGTCTTGGTTCGGTGCAGCTTCCGCCTACTGGGTTGAACCGATTCTCCTGCCCCAGCCTCCCAAGTAGCTGGACTACAGGCGCACACCACCACCATGCCTGGCTAATTTTTGTATTTTTAGTAGAGACAGGGTTTCACCATGTTGGACAGGCTGGTCTCAAACTCCTGACCTCAAGTGATCCGACTGCCTTGGCCTCTCAAAATGCTGGGATTACAGGTGTGAGCCACCACTCCTGGCCTGTAAGTATACAGTCTTAAACTTCAGTCACAAGACTCATTAAAAAAAGTCCCAATATCTGAGTGAACATTTATATTTTTAATTTAAAATATTTAAGCTGCAAGAGTATGTGTTTGTTTAATAGTTTCCCTGTTTTACTACCCATCTTTAGCCATTCAGATAGTGGTTTTGATCACATTGGGTAAAAGATACTCTCCTGTCTCTGGTGCTTTTCTGTACAATAGAAATTTATATGTAAACATATATAAAATTTATATATATGTAAATCACATTTGTAAAAGTTAATTTAAGCAATAATTGTTTTATAATAAAAGGGATTCTTGTTGCTTTGGATTATTAAATTTATGCTAGTTTTTATTGTGTACATACTGTTTTATGCTCAGAAGTAAATCACAGTATTACAGTAAGAAAAGATTGAGCCTGGAGGTCATATGAGATGAAAGAGGAGGTTTAGAAAGAGTGGGAGCCGTCGAAAGAAAGAAGGGATGTGGTCAGAGGGAAACTTGGAACTTAAGATACCAAGAACTTTGAAGTCACCAATTAAAATTTTGAACTCATGATGTTAAGATTTGAAAAATGTGAGCTTGTGCTGAGATTATATAGAATGTAGAAATGTGAGACTGAAGAAGATAATATAAAAAATAACTTTCCTTGTTAGTAGGTGTGTACCATCATATAAGATGAATGGAAGGAGATTGGAGGAATTATGTCATATGAAGCAAGGACTGCACAGAGAGAATTTAATTAAAATCGTTTGGGGCTGGACATGGTGCCTCATGTGTGTAATCCCAGCACTTTGGGAGGCCAAGGTTGGCAGATCACTTGAGGTCAGGACTTTGAGACCAGCCTGGCTAACTGGTGAAACCTCGTCTCCGCAAAAATTAGCCAGGCATGATGGCACACGCCTGTATTGTCAGCTACTCAGAAGGCTGAGGCAGGAGAATTGCTTGAACCCAAGAGGCAGAGGTTGCAGTGAGCCGAGATGGCACCACTGCACTCCAGCCTGGACATCAGAGTGAATGAGACTCCATCTCAAAAAAAGAAAAAAAAAGTTTGGAAAGTTGATTAATGTTATTCTGGTTACATTGTTAATATGGTAGAGCTCTGTTCATGTTCACCTTATTATTAGCTATAACCTATAGATTCATGTTTAGGAATCTGGTGAAAGCTATGGGCTCTCTTTCCAAAGTACTTATGTGTGAACAAACATGTAACTTCCTAATTTTAGAAGGTTCACAGACCCACCAGAGCCCAGAGAGATCCTTGTTGAGATGAGAAAGGAATTGCATTCTAATCCTTCTGAGCATTACAAAAAGCAGTTTTATTTCAGTGGATTTTGCTATCAATATGGGCTTTTAGGTACTGCATGAGACAGTTTTTATCATGAAAAATTCTGGATTATCTGTGCTCTATACACTGAGATATCTATATTCATGTTGGTAAGAACTTGAAAGTAATAATCTGAAGTGACAGTAAGTAGAGGTGTTTTTATTATGTAATACTTAATGCTTCTCTATTACATGCATTAGAGCCTTTTAATATTTATCAGTAACAACCTAAGTTGTATAAATCTATACTTTATTCAACTCAATTTTACTTCAAAGAATATGATCTTCAAGTATTTAAGAACAAACAATGTTTATGCTGTAGCTTTGGGGAGAAAGTGTGATCTGCCTACCTTACTGTTCACTTTTCCTGCTCTGCTTTTTTGTTCCTGGGTATGATGCTTACTTACTTTTTTCCCTTTTTCTTAAGGTAAATGGCTGTAAATGGTGACTCATAGCCATTGTCAATTGCAAAAACTTAACTTTATGTAACTTGAGAGGTGCTAGAAAGTTTCACATTGCTTAATATTGTGTGAAGTGTTTCTCACCTGAAAAATGATTGCTTTTGGAATTCTTTTTGTTATTGTAGCTCACAATAATTATGTTCACAAGAATTGTGCTCATGTTTATATGACTTTATTTTAACTGTAGGACCGTGTATATGTACAACAAAATAATGTGGAGAATGTCTACAATTTGGGATTAATTATTTTTCGAGATCAAGTTGTACGTTATGGATGTATTAGGGATCATCTGCGGCAAACTCTGTTGGATATGATTGCAAGAGAGCGGAAAGGAGAAGTTGTAGACAGGTATAATTTTTCTTTTTACTCTTGTGGTTTTGAGAATCTTGAGAATGATTCACTGTCTTAGTTTTATTAAAATAAATAAAAGTTTGAATATTCAGCACATTGGGAAAATCCTCAGAAAGTTTATATAAGACTTAACAGTTACCTAGACTTTAATTTGAAAGCACACATCTCATATTTTTTAGAAGAGATTATCATAAGCTTTTATTTAATATGCTTTTAACAAACAAATCAGTTAGTCGTCACTTTTGGCTTTTCATTTATTTTTCATGCCAGCATTTGGTTCTTTTTTTCTGTATACCATTTTTATTTCTTTTCTTGGTATTTTTCTTTAAGGGCTTTTGTCTGTCCTTTATTCCAGACATTTTGAAGAAAACTGTTGAATATAGACTAAAATGACTAAGAAATGCTGTGCCCCTTTTAAGTCATATTTTGTCCCCCTTTATAACAGTGATTACAATGTCATTTTGGTGATGCTGCAGCTAGAGTGGCTTGAAATGTAAGATTTTTTTCTCTCCTCATCTGTTTTCAGAGCAGCTGTTAGATGAAAACATGTAAAGTTCTTTTTATTTCAGCTTTGGTGCTTGATCAGGATTGCCCACAATTCATTTAGTACAAAAAATTGTATTGCCCAGGGGTAGCTGTATATTGGACCCATGTCTGGCAGTACAGCTTAATCTGCCTGTCTCCCTCTCTCCCTCCCTCCCTCCCTCCTTCCAGATAAGTAGCCTCTCAGTGTTTTCAAACACACAGAAATATTTAGACATCTTCATTTTCTTTAAAAATTTTGTTTATAACACAGTAAGAACACCTTGAGATAAATAGCTGTGCAGTCAAGCTATGCTTTCCCGTTTAAGATTAGGCTAATCCTTTTGTTTTATGTGAGTGGCCTATGGGAGATTGGTCACTTCAATGAAAGTTAAATGTCCTGAAGATATTTTTACCTACTTCTTTTGTAATTTTTAGGTGAATTTTTAATGTAACTTAATTATCAAGTGATAAAACTTTTTTCAACAGAGGCGCAATAAGAAATGCTTGCCAGATGTTAATGATTTTAGGTCTTGAAGGAAGATCAGTCTATGAAGAAGATTTTGAGGCTCCTTTTTTGGAAATGTCTGCAGAATTTTTTCAGGTAATCTATCAAAATGTAAATAAATATTTTAAGATATTCTTAATGTTTTTACTATAGTTACTAATTTAACGATTTTGACCTTTTTCGACTGAGGCCCACTGAGGGAGGGGAATATGCAAAAAACGCCCATCTGCACACCTACCTCACATTTTGACCATTTCCGGTTAAGCAACTCATCGATAACAAATTGAAGAGTTTGAACTTACACACACGTTTTTTAAAATTATAGAGATGACCCTTGAACAGTGTGGGCCATAGGGATGCTGATCCCCTGTGTAGTCGAAAGGCCACATAAAACCTTTAACTCCCCAAAAACTTACAGCGTGTGTTGACTGGAAACCTTAGGGATAAAATAAACAATCGATTAGCATATATTTTGTATGTTACATGTATTGCATATTGTATTAAAGTAAGCTAGAAAAAAGAAAGTGTTATTAAGATCATTATATGGAAGATAAAATATAATTTACTGTTCACTAAATGGAAGTGGATCATCCAGGTCTTCATCCTTGTCTTCACATTGAGTAGGCTGAGGAGGAGGAGGAGGAAGAAGGATGGCTTGGTCTTGCTGTCTCAGGGGTGGCAGGGGAGGAAGAAAATCTACTTCATTGACTTGTGCAGTTCAAACTTGTGTTCTTCAAGGGTCAACTGTATGTTATAAAACCGTAAACTTAGAAATTTCTTTATCCTTTTACTGTATCTAATATGAATTACTTAAGTACCATAAATTTATAGTAGCACATCACCAACAAAGTCTCATCTGTAAGCTTTTATCAAAGTACTCATAAGGGTGTATATATAAAACACATATAAGAATATGCATGATTTTTTAGTGCATATTTGCCTTAAAGGTGGTTGACTAAAAAATTACAGACCAATGAGTACTATTGATAGAAATTCACAACAGTGTTCCAAACCCAATTAACTTGCTAAAAGTAAAGCTAAACTGGTACTAGTTTGTAATGAAATGATGATAATAACAATAACTGAGGACCAATAAACATAAGACTGTATTTATAAGGTAACTGTAACCAGGCATCTTTCCTGAAAACCGTAACTCTCTGAGCAATTAGCAGTAGGAATTTTGTAGCGTTGCCGAAACAGATGTCTTAATAGAAAGGTAAAGTGTTTATTCCAGTAATATGCTTTTTAAAAAATAAATGAATACAAAATTTTTAACTCTTAATATAATTCACTAGGTCATTTATGATAGCTATTGGTTAGACAAAAATTGATCTTGGTGAATTTTGGTATCACTTACCCGTAAAGAAAGAAAGAAAGGACTTGCTGCCTTCCCCCCTCCCCCTTCAAATTGTTTTATAGCCCATCAGGAAGACCTTTGTGGCCTGCATTGGTGAGCCTGGACCATGCTTTATTAATTACTAATTTATAATATAGAAAAGGGTCTTTATTTTCTAATATGTCAACTAGTTGCAGATATTTTTGACAGTATTTCTAATCTTTGCATTAGCTTGCATTTTTTTTATTACAGTAGATAACATACTAATAGAAAAATTGTTTATAAATCAAGATTCCAAACTATGCTACAGTGATACTTACATGTATGTATGCATAAAGACATATATGTATTATTTTTAATAGTGGAGAGAGGCAAGATTTTAGTTTGGCGTGTACATGTATATTCTTAGGAACTTGATTATCTCAAGAATTAAAACTGTTAAGAAAGTGAGAGATAGTTGCGAAATTTTATATGTAACTTACATTGACTACGTGTTTTCCAGTATATAATTCTTCAATATAACCATTAAAACTACTATCAAATCTGTTAAAATCAGTTGGGGTAACATTTGCAATTTAGTGGAACTTTTGTAAAGCTGTGTTAGCAGACAATATTAATAGTTATTTTAAAGCTCTTATTTCTCAAACTTTAGTGTATATGTCTACTCGTTTGAGAGTGGGAGTGGGTGGCAGGAAGACTTTAGTAACTAGCAGTATGCCAGCAAAGCTTATGGTAAACATGATGAATCTTTCTGGTTATAATTTTACATTAAACAAATCAAAAGAAGAACATCCCATTCTGTTGGAGTCAGATGCTTCTATACTTTTGACCCTCATTGGTGTGTATTTACTTTTTCTGCTGGTTTTTGGAGTACATTGGCACAGTTTGAAAAACATTGCTTACAGATAAAGTTTTAATTTAGTATTATGTACATACCAAAGCCTTTAAAGGTTATAATTCAGACTATCAATCTTTGTAATGAGAAATTACACAAAATGCTTATAGTACTTATTTTACTTAGGCTGATTTGTTATAAACACTGTAGAAACCCAGCTAAGAGCAAAACCACATTTTTTCTATGTTAAAAATACTACATTTTTAAATTGCAGATGGAAAGCCAGAAATTTTTAGCAGAAAATAGTGCTTCAGTATATATAAAGAAAGTAGAAGCTAGAATTAATGAAGAAATAGAACGAGTGATGCACTGCCTTGACAAATCAACGGAAGAACCAATTGTAAAGGTGGTTGAGAGGGAACTCATTTCCAAGCACATGAAGACTATAGTAGAAATGGAGAATTCTGGGCTAGTACATATGTTGAAAAATGGAAAGACAGAAGGTAAGTGTTACCTATTGAAAATAATAAAATTCTTATTCTGCCATATCAATATTTTTTAAATTTTCCTACAATTAAAGCAGATAATAACAGTTTTCAAGAAGTTGTGGTGTGTGTTGTTAATTTCTCTCCGTTGTTACTCTGATGGGATTTCCAAGCTTGATACTGTCTTACTAATGAAGATTTTAGACATTTCTAATTAATTGAGCATTTCTGGTCTTTCAGTTTAAGTCTCCTCATTTTGTGTTTCTCTTAACCCAGAAGATAAAAGGTGTAATAGTATTGGTGAGGCCAAGGAGCCCCTCATTCGTTCCTGTACTTGTTGTATACCAAACAAAGGGTTTGGGCTCTCTTGTGGTTTTGTGATTATCTTAAAAATCTTAAATTTCCATCTTAAGATTTCTGTAGACTTTCCTTTGGGATTTAGTTATGATAGGGTTCTGAAAATGCAAAAATATTTGTATCTTCCCTATTGATATGTTTAAATAAATTAAATTGGTTTGGGGAACACTGAAGTTACAGAATGGAAAAGGAAGAAGGAGGATTGTATAAAAGCAAAAAACACTTTTGAGGTAAACTATAGCATTTTTTAAATCACAATATTTATTTTCCAGGGGTTTTAAAAAAAAATCGTGAAAAGTATCCTAGAAGAAGTTGTAAATCAAAGAATAATAACCATATCCTCCCTTCTTAGTTTCTGATGCTTTGTTTTAAAACTTTGCCTTTACCACTGATACGGTATTAGGAAATTAAAAAAAAAAAAAAAAAAAAAAAATGGTTGTCCTACTTCCTAGATGAAATCTCAGCAATATTTTATCCACTTCCTTTTAGTAAAAGAAATATATATTGCCTTTTGGGGTCATGACCTATGGAGAAAATAAAGAAAGGTTTTTAAAGGAGAATTATAACGAGGAGGAGGATACAAGAGAAGGGAAAAAGAGCTGGTGGGAAGTTGAGCCATGTTTATCTCTAGTGGAATCCTTACCTTGTGTTTTAAAATTGTTACATTGTTGTATATATGATAAATTACTGGAAAGTTATACTTAAAAAATTTTTTTCAGCTAGAGGGGCTTTCTTTTTAAAAGACTCTTCTATTAAACCTTTTTTGTAACAGCAAAAAATAGAAGTCATCTAGTATGTTTGCCATGTTTTCTAAAATTAAGGTTTAAGTCAAGGGTTGGCAAGCTTTTTTTTTGTAAAGGGCTAGTTAATAAAATGAATAAAATGGCTTGTGGGCCATGCAGTCATCGTGAGAAAATAAGGCAATAACAAATGAATAAGCCTGTGTTTCTATAAGACTTTATTTATGAGCCCTGAAACTTGAATAATTTTTATGTGTCACTAAATAGTATTCTTTTCAGTTTTTCATTAGCCATTAAAAATGTGAAAAATATTCTTAGTTCATGAGCTTACATAAATAGGTAGCAGGCTGTATTTGGCCCATGGGTCCTAATTTAATGACCCTTCCCTGAATGGTCTCTGGTAGACTAGGACTTTATGCAAAGCATTTGCCCTGCTTAAACAAAATGAATATTAATAAATTATGTACTGTACTGTTTCAATGTTGAATGAATGTTTTCTTACCCACCTTAGGGGCGTGTAGGGAGGGATGATTAAATGGGCTGGAGATTAGGGGCTAGGAAATGTTGATGAAGAGGTTGTTGAGCATGCCAGAATTACAGCATCTCTGTCACCTGTGTGGAGATGTATGTAAAATGTGTCAGGTATGCCTATCATGGCAAGCACTTATGTGAATGAAGGAGTGTCATAATAGTACTTACCAGAGTTCGCCTTTATTTAGTACCTTATGTTTTCAACAATACAGTGTAGCTATCTATGATTCTAAATTAAATTTTAAATTTTTGTTTCTGTCTTGACATGATGCACACGCCCGGAATCCCAGTCCTTTTGGAAGGCTGAAACGGGTGGATTGCTTGAGCTAAGGAGTTCAAGACCAACCTGGGCAAATTAGTAAAACTAATTTGTGAAAAATACAAAAATTAGCTGGGCCTGATGGCACATGCCTATAGTCCCAGCCACTTGAGAGGTTGAGGTGAGAGGATCATTTGAGCCCAGCCAGGGAGGTCAAGGCTGCAGTAAGCCAAGAAAGATCATGCCAGTGCACTTCAGCCTGGGCGACAGAGGGAGATCCTGACTTGAGGGGTGGTGAGGGAACAGAAAGAAACTGTTGTCTTTAATTTTTCTGAGCTTCCACTAGAAACTAGTGGCAAGATATCTTAATTGTAGTAGGCCCCTGCTCTTGGAAAAAAGTTCCTCTTGTTGAGTATCAGAAGCAACTTCACCATTATGAAACCAAATTCTCATAAATCAGAAAATGAAAAACAGTTTCCTCACTGTGAATGGAGGATAAATCGGATTGGTTATTAGATGCAGATAGCACTATGAAATTAAGTTCAAATGGTATCTTATTTTTATTAAGTGCATATTAGAAATAATGATATTTAATTTTTGAATGCCAAATTATTCTCATTTACTCTTTTACATTCCCTTTGCCCTGACATTTAAATACAATGAAATTTTTGTAATTTATATACAGCTACATATAGAACATGTAATAGCTAAGGAAAACTTACAACAATATAGGAATGAAATTGACAAGTTGGGGACCATTTTGTTAGAAGTATTTGATGTGCTACATTTACTGTAGTATGTGACCATAAACTTTGCATTTGTAATGCCTTTTTTCAATATGGGATACTTGGTTGTAATTTATGCTAAGTATGTGAGAAGCTGTAAAATTGCCATGTGTAGGTGACTACAGGCATGTATTATTAATGGAAAAGAATTAAAATTTGCTGTTGAAAGTCACTGAAACAAAGTTTATTAAATTTGTGTGACACTTGCTTCTAAATAGTTTTAAAATACATACAACTTTAGTTTTAAGCTCTAAATTGCCCTTTGAACTGTAGACCAAAATAGGCAAATTAGGGCCTGTCCACCAAATCTGTTTTGTTGTTGTTGTTGTTGTTGTTTTTTCTTTTCTTTGATTAAAAAAAAAATTGGAAGAATATTTCATGAAAATTTATATAAATTTATATACAATGTCAGAGTAGAGTAGTTGAGTCAGATATCTGTGACCCACATTTTAAAATATTTGTTATCTGATGCTTTACAGAAAAAACGTTGGTCAGCGTCTGATCTAGAAACTCTTAACTTTATTTTTTAAAGTTTCTAATTGTAAAACTTTTTAAAATTATCATTGTAAAGTTCTGGCACTGTGTTCTCCCAGTAAGTTGTTATTGCAGAGAAACACTAGACATATGGGAAAACCGTATTTTAAAATCTGTATTTTAGTCTTGTGAAAAATGATATTAAAAAATGGATAGGATCCAGAGTTTTGATTCTAAATTTAAAATGTATAGTGAAATAGACCAAATTTTGAAGTACAGATACTGGCTTAGGATGCCACCTGGGAAACGTTAGGGTTTGCTCTGAGGAAAATATTGAAAAAGAGACGTTTATATTATACATTTCATAAAAACTTTATCTGAGGTGTAATAAAGTAAATCCTAGGATAGTTTATTTGATTTGTTGTCATGGTAATCAGTTAAACCCTTGGAAATACGAATAAGACTTAAATTGGTTTTGAAGTTTTTTTCTCATTACAGGGATTACCAATTAAACCTTAATTAGTTACCCTTTTCGTAGACATTTTGTAGTATCATTAGGTCTGCATTAGAGTTATGTAGTATAAATTACGTACAAACTCAAAACTGCAGTTGCCATTTTTTTTTGTGACATTTATTTATTTATTATGGTTTTTGGCATCTCTTCCATGTAAATTAAATTTTGCTAGGACATTTAATTGATGCTTTCAGAGCATCTCATCTAAAAGTTGTGTTTTATAAATTACAACAGTAACTATTGACTAGCCTATTTTTTCCAGTTTTCATTTCAATATACATATATTTTTAATAGTTATGTGGTCAGCAAATGGTGGTAGTGGAGAAATGAGCTTCTCTAAGTATTGTAGCGTGAACACAGATTCATGTTTTTTTCTTTAATCTTTAATGTAGCCAATTTGTGTTTTCTTTCTGATTTGTAGACCTTGCTTGCATGTACAAGTTATTTAGTCGTGTGCCAAATGGTTTGAAAACAATGTGTGAGTGTATGAGTTCCTATTTGAGGGAGCAAGGTAAAGCTCTTGTTTCTGAAGAAGGAGAAGGAAAGAATCCAGTTGACTATATCCAGGTAAGTAAACCCAGATGATTCTCTACGTTTATGATAAAGGCATTTTGACAAGTGCTGCAAAGGCCACTTTCACCATGCTGTGTATTGTGTACTTTCAACTTAATTTTCCCAGTAGTAAAATAATATGTGTAATTATCCTAAATACTTCAGAGTTTTGCAAGGTGCGCATATTTATATCAGGGAGCTAAAATTCAGCTGCTACTTTTCATTTAACTTCTCTGATGGAGAACTTGTTTAAATAGTCTCAATTTTTGGTATGCCTTAATGTTTGTATACATTAGTATGTTGGAGAAGACAACTGGTTTAAATACTTTTTGTTTGAAAATACTTTACTTTCAAGCAGTACTATAAATAAATTATGTGCCATGTTTTTGTGTTTTAATCAGCTTTTTGGTACATTTTTTAAGCTAATTTTTTCCCTGGCTCTAACCCATTCCATCAAGACAGGAGAAAGAGAAGCAGTGAGGAGGAGGTTCTTTGGTTTGTTTGCATTGTATTAATACATATATGGAAGATGCAATACTTCTCTCATTGACTTTTTTAATAGAGGCTTACATATAGGCTTGAAAATAATACCAAAACTATGTGAGTTTAAAAATGAATATACATGTTTGTTACCAGCAAAGTTAAGATAAACATACATGGTCATAAATGTATTATTTATGGAAAAATTATTATAATGTGTCCTAAATTTTATTGTTTTTATTTCTAAGGGCTTATTGGATCTGAAGAGTAGGTTTGATCGCTTCCTTCTAGAATCATTCAACAATGACCGGCTCTTTAAACAAACTATTGCTGGTGACTTTGAGTATTTTCTCAACCTTAACTCCAGGTCTCCTGAATACCTCTCATTATTTATTGATGATAAGCTGAAAAAGGGAGTCAAAGGGGTAAGTAGTAATGTATTTGAAAATACATTTAATTTTATTTTAAGATACAAAATTATATGTAAAGTTAGGACATTTTGCAGATAAAAGTTAAGCATGACCCATTGCTGTGCTTAAATGTGTGCTGTGGCCTAGTAAAAAATATTGTTTGAAATACTTAACGTGCTCCAAAGTAGTTAGACATTTCACTTAATGTGTAATTGGCTTCAAAAACAAGTAACTGGATGGGCTTGGTAGCTCATGACTGTAATCCAAGCATTTGGAGAAGCCAAGACAGAAGGAGCTCTTGAGGCCAGGAGTTTGAAATTAGCCTTGTTAACAGAGCAAAACTCCATCTCTACAAAAGTAAAAGAAAAAAATTAGTGGTACAAAGTGATACATACCTGGTGTCCCAGAGTCAGAGGCAGAGGATCACTTGAGCTCAGGAGTTTAAGGCTGCAGTGAGCTATGATCATGCCACTGCACTCCACCCTAGACAATAGAGCAAGACCTTGTCTCAAAAAAAATGAACAACTACACAGCTGTAGTTGGTAAACAGTCACTTTTATGACAGAGTTAGCCATGCTGAAGATCAAAAAGAACTAGAAAACAACTTTCTAGTAGTACAGAGTGTTGTTTGCTCTCATCTGGTTCTGAAGGTTAATATGTCAAACAATAATTGGATGCCAAGAATGTTAAGGCATAGATAGAGTAGATTTCAGAAAACAGCTGGCGTAGCTCAATTTCAAGCCTTTATGATACATGATACCTCTGGAACCTGGGGAGCTCACGGCAGCATAGATCAGCTGAAGCATTTCTGCTCACATCTGAATTGGTCTCTTTTGACTTCATTTTGGAATTTGTGACATGAAAGGGAAACGTAACAAGTTGTCACAGGTTTTACAGGCGGTAGCTGCAACAAGGAGAGAAAATCACTGAGGATGCACAGAATAGAAAAGTCTATTAATTATGCATTATGTCATCTTCCATTTTTCTGAATATATTAATACAGCCTGCCACAGAATCCTTTTGCCCTTATTTAAAAGTAAGGGCAATGGTCTTTTTATTGTTTGGATTGTGACAAATTATTGCCTTTTGTTTGCACAATTTAGGCTTTCAGTGAGCTTAAATGAAAAAATCTGTCTTTTTGGCTGTGTGATGTTTTGCCTACATGTGCAAAGCCTTCATAACATAATCTCTGTGACTAAAATTTCATTTCCTGTATTCTCAGTCATCCCTTAATCCAGCCCTATATTACCTTATGCCTCCATTTCAGTAGTAGCCCCCTACGGAATAGAATTCCACTCCAACCTCTCATGCATGATGCACTAAATGAGAATGTAAGAATGATGCTACTATGTGAAGTAAGAGGCGCTTTCTCAAACTATCCCTTTTTCTGATGTATGTCAGCCATATATCTATGTTTTCAAACAATAGTGTTTTTAAGCTGTAAATGAACTATAATGCTACTTCTGTAGAATTAAAATTATATAATTGTTAAATCATCTTAATTTTGCAGCTAACAGAACAAGAAGTAGAAACAATATTGGATAAGGCAATGGTCCTTTTTAGGTTTATGCAAGAAAAAGATGTATTTGAACGTTATTATAAACAACACTTGGCAAGGAGACTTCTCACAAACAAAAGTGTTTCTGATGACTCTGAAAAAAACATGATATCTAAGTTAAAGGTAAGGTATGTTTTGGTTGGAATAGAATGCCACCTAACTGATGTTTATCCTGGTTGTGTACTGACAACATGTGATTGGAAGTTATTTGGTTGATTTTTAAGTGTTTATTTCTAGAAATAAAGGTAGATTGTTTTGAGAAGAACACAGGCTACACTAACATTTTTTTCAAGTTCAGGGACATTCAGAGTTTGCTGGAATTTCTTTTGTTATGTCAAGATACATACATGGAGGCCTATAAGGGAGGATTAGTAAAAGGGAAACGATAAAGAGGTTATTGCCATGTAGTTCTTTTTCTCAAATTGTGGTCCACAGAATACTTGTACCTGAATCACCTGAGATGCTAGTTAAAAACACAGAGTTCTTGGCCCTGCCTTTCATGGGGGTGTATTGGAATCTCTGAAAGAATCTGGGAATTTCCGTTTTAAAATAAAATCCTAAAGTTTGGTAACCACAGGCATAGAGCAGCTGTTGGAAACATTTACAGAAAGATTATCAGGGATAGCAATAACATGAAATAATTTATTTCCTCTATACATAGAAAAATCTACCATTTGTGTATATTTGTGTTTTTCTTCCACAGACTGAATGTGGATGTCAGTTCACATCAAAACTGGAAGGAATGTTTAGGGATATGAGCATCTCAAACACAACAATGGATGAATTCAGGCAACATCTACAGGCAACTGGTGTAAGATTCTTCATTAATATCTACTTACATATTCATGTAAAGTCTTATAATGGGCATTTTCATCCATTTAGCAGATGACAGCCGTTTCTTTAAATGTCACTAGTGACAGTGTGTGTCTATGAGTACTTAATTATTTTTCTTCACATTTCCTCTTTTTCTATGTTTATGTTAAAACTTTTTATTATTTTAAAATTCAGTTTCTCCTCCCTACTTGAAAGGAATACACTGACAATTTAATAAAGAGAATTATTCTGCTGTTAATATAGTAAGTACAAATCTATTATAAATTGTGGAAAGAATACTGGGCTTACACAAATTTACTGAGTTTTAGTACTTTTCTTTTCACTTTACCCCAGGACTGTGTCATCTTGGGATAGTCTCATGACCATTCTATACCTTACTACTGTCATTCTCCTCTGTAAGTTTAGCTTAAGTGGGCCTTACATCCTAAGGGTGGGTAGCAGGTGAACTGAGACTATGAAAACACAGAAATTAATGTGTTACAGATGTGTTTGGTATAACTCCCCAAAGCTGGTGAGCTGGAACTTTTATGGCTTTGAAGTCTGATGGCGGTTTTATGAGCATTTAATGATATTCACAATTTAGTTTCATTTTTTACTTTGATTTTCAACTTAACCTTAAATTTAGAGAATTATACAATTTTTAAATTTTCTAAATCACCACGTACCACTCTGTAGTTAAGATACATCACAACCATTTAACAGATTTGCGAGTCTTTCTTTTGATATCTAAAAATGAGATCATCACTTTCACAAACCAGATATGTGAAACTATCTAATTCTGTAGAATAACCATTTATATGAAAACATTCTGGCTGTAATGTAAATAGTTACATGATTTGCCTTATATATCAGTGTTTACAGTAGAGAAGATCTGAGAGGAGGAAAGATGCAAGTTTGTGATACAAATTTTGGGTGGACAGGAACTGAGTAGTGTAATTATCCTGGATTTTTTTTTTTTTTTTTTTTTTTAGATTGTTGAGGAATCTGTAGTTAAATCTAATATATTGGCATATTTTCTTGTATTTTTTTTCCTCGCTATAATAAGCTTTTTATTTTTTTTCTTCCACTAATCTTACACATTGAGAGCTATAGGGAAGATTGGGGTATATCCCATGCGTATTGATATAGGATGGATGAACTGACCACATTGGGACCCTGCCTTACCCCAGCCAACTTGCAAACGTGTAAACAGTTCTCCACCTCCACCAGTATATCATCTAAGAGGCTCTGCTATGATCCTCTCTTCTGTGTGTCGTCCAATTTTTCTATTTTCAGTTTCTTTAAGTAATCATTTCATGGATACTTGTGAAGCAATCTTGAGTGTAGAATGGTCCTTGATATTCATAAACTGATGCCTCCCCTAAAAATTTATATTACTAAAGCCCTGAGGTAAGATAAAAATGGAATGATGGTTAGCTCTGAATATCAGTAATAAAGATAATATTTAATCCATAAGAGTTTCTTTTGTGCCTTATTGCTGTTTACTTAAAAAATTAATTTGTTTAAAAGAAGAAAATAAGTGTGGCAGTGATACTAACATAGAAGTAGTCATTCGTTGTACAGATATTTATAGAACACCTGCTGTGTAGCAATCTGTAGTGTCCTATGAAGAGGTTAGAATGTGCGTTAAAACATAAAAGTTTGGTTTAGTTGAAATAGGTGCTGGAATAATAGAAATAACATTGTGTATTAAGATGGTAAAGGTATTTTAAACTGAGAGGAAGGATATTATGCTAGAATTTTCCCTAAAATGGTATGATTGACGCCCTTGACCTTTTATTTAAAAAGGCCCAAACTTTTCAGTTCTCAGTGATAACAGTAAGACTTGATTTATGTGCCGAAAACTATTCTTTGTTCAGTGTTTTTAAATTAACATCACAAGCAATAATTATGACTGTTTGCCAGAGTAGTTTAAATCTGGGAAACACTGGAGGGTCTAACCTTTAAGAAAATCTACTGGTGAACTGTTCTAGAACTTCTAGAACATCTACCTAATGAACTGTTGTCTCAAACCAGATCTGAAAAACCAACTGGGCAGGTTTTTAAATTAGATATTAGACATGGAGCTAACTGCTTTGATAAGTCTAACACAGTGTCTAAACAGAACAGATAACAAATCCTAGTTAATTTTGAGGAGAGTATCTCTTTCTGTTTTACATAGGTATCTTTAGGTGGTGTTGATCTTACAGTCCGGGTGCTCACGACAGGATATTGGCCCACTCAGTCAGCCACACCAAAGTGCAACATCCCACCAGCACCAAGACATGCTTTTGAGATATTCAGAAGGTAAATCTAAATCAGACTTTGCATTACTAAGTACAAATAATTGTTCAGAATTAAAATGAATTTGAACATTAGTATCTGTAATTGAAGATGAATGTATTCCATTTATTACCTCGTGTTCAGAAGTAGCATCTATCCTACCTAGCATGCAGCAATTTCCCCCTCTGTAGGTTCTTAATGAATAAAGTAAAGCAGGCGTAATTTATCTCTAGAAGGACTGTTTGTATGCTGGCATTTGAAATGCCTTTTATTTAGAGCTGTAGTAAAAAACAGAAAAAGGGAAAGTCAATGATGATGGAAAACCAGACCCAGAGAATTCTTAGACTTTTCTGAACACTTCAGTCAACTCGAATTGTTGGAAATACATGGACACCTTATTCCCACTGGGACTCAGAGTCTCTGAGTTGGCAGTTTTGATGAGGATGAGGAGCAAGAAGAAAACCAAGAGTGATATTAATTGCAAGAAAAAAATAGAAAACGATTCAAGCAAATCTCTTTTTTGGGCTGTTGAAAATAATTGGCTTACTCAGTGTGGAGACTACTTTCTGAAAAGCCACTCCTGTGAACGCTAGGGATGAAGATGACTATATCCCCCTCTTCATGGAGCAGCCTAAAGTGGGCACTTAGACATTGTCTGTGAGCTGACGGCACAAGGGGCAGATGTTTTTGCAGTAACCATGGATAGCTGGACACCTCTACATGCTGTTTGTAAGTGGAATAATACCAGAGTGGCTTCTTTATTTCTTCATCATGATACAGTTCAGTTATGAACACTCAAGCAAAAGGCCTCTTGACTCCCTTGCATCTTATCTTGCTGCTGGATCAGAGACAGCAGAGATACTCTAGAACTTCTAGTGTGAACTGTTACCTCAAACCAGATCTGAAAAAAGAAGAAACTGCAGGAGGACAAGTGTCTGTCACAACCTCTTTGAAATTGTGGAAGGCACTGTACAGATTCTTCACCTTAGTCTTAATGATTCTAGTAATTAAGCTTCCAAGTACCAGTCCTCCTTTGTGTGAAATGTAAAATATTCCCATAATAAACAGTTGGCATCAAACATCTTACTGCAAAAAATTCATTGGTACTCATTAAGATGTTCTTCCAAATGAAATGCCTGACCTTGAGGTCAGAATGTACTTGAAAGTTTGACTATATCTTGAATGATTTCTGTGGAGTTTGTGATTTTTATTGGAACTAATTTTGACTTGCCTGTACTTAAAAACTTGAAGTGTGTTGTACAGAAACTAACGATATTTTTTATGCTGATGCAGGAGATAGGTATTTTTAAATAGCCTGTATCCTGGATCTTTGTTGAGTATTCAGCATATTGACATGTATCTTTGTAAGGTGAGGTAACTAGGAATTTAACTTAAAAAGCCTCAAACATTCTGGTGCTCTTCCAGCTGTCTTCTCTACATTACTGTAGCCAGTTGCTTTCATTTTGAATCAGAAGCACTAGCATATTATTAACTTATATCTTCATACATTAAAAAAAAAAAAGAAACTAGATTTGTCTTTTAGAATATAGACCATTTGCCAGGAAAGCAGCTAGGTATTTAATCCATGAATCTTGTATACGGTCTCCACCACCACAACGCATATAATCCTGTGGACAGTCCTACTTCACCCTGCTCAGCTGCATGAGCCTTATTCTAATAGTGAATCAGTATAATCGTTTATACATGCACAGAGATACACTTTCTTGCAAGAGTTCACGATGTATCTGCTATCCAACTAGTTTTACTTGCCTAATCCAACTGATTTAGATACTGCTCAGTCTCTTGAGTTCACAGAAATGTTGGGTTTTTTTCCTCCCCAAGGTCCTCGTTTTTTTTACAAACAATAGAAAGGCAAAATGACAAGGGAAAAGGAATTCTAGGAGTGAAGGGATGATTGTTATACTGGGGCAAGAACCACAGAGTAGTTCAGGCTTTGAACAAAGGCGATATGGATAGTGACAAAAAATATAAATATAAAAATTCAAAAGTACAAGTTTTGAACAACAACAAAGGGAGAGTTTATCCTTTATAATTTTAATATGTAAGAAAAAGTTGCATAAACTTTTCCCAGAGGAATATTTTATAAATGCTCTTCATTCAACATTAGTGCATTGAGTATTTTTTGTACTGTGGTATAGAAATATATTTTGTATTGTTGATGTCTACTACTGGCTTAGGATAAATTGATTATTGGGTTACTATGGAGAAAGGTGGTCTTAATAAGCAGGGGCTGAGCAGCAGTAGACTGGGGCAGAGTGCACAGTAGAAATTATTTAGTGTGCTGCCTTTGTCATTCAGTATCTAGCTGAGTTGCTTAGGGCTCTCAAGGTTTCTCTCTTCTGTAGAAAGTTGAAACTGAACTTTGTTCCTAGGGTTTCCTTTAACTTTTAAAGTCTGTACATATACGTGTGTGTGTGTGTGTGTGTGTGTGTGTGTGTACATACACATATGTTTAAGGGATGTTATTCTGTAATTTGTAATTTCAAATGTGTAAGTTTGTTTGATTTTCTAAAACCTGATTTGATTTGCCGAAGGTTCTACTTAGCCAAACACAGTGGTCGACAGCTCACACTCCAGCATCATATGGGTTCTGCAGATCTCAATGCCACATTTTATGGACCAGTTAAAAAGGTAAGTATTGATAGTTTGAACATATTAAGTAACTTAGTCTATAGAGCTGATTTGTGATTTATGTTGACCTGGGTAAATTATTTATTTCTCTTGTTTCTCTACCTGTCTCACATGTTAGAAAAGTTAAAAATCCTGGCTTTGATTTTTTACTTTTGTTCTCTCAGTTGCTAACTGCAGCTTTGAAAATATTAAGACTACACCAGTATAGTCTTCTCTAAGGACTAAATATTAGGATAATTACATATTTTATTTATAAAACTAGGTTCGAGAAAATATTGCATAAAATAATAAAATGTAAGTTGATTTCAGAGCATACAAAGCCATGAGCCTCTTTTAAAAATTCTGTCTCCTACAATCTTTATTTCTAATGAATCAAGATTGGAAAAATTAACACTTGAGATTTGTTTCATATAAAATGTTATTAAAGTCATTTAAAAAATCAGTAATGGACAAGTGATTTGCCTTCATTTCTAAAAAGCAATTACTTTTTCATATCTAAATTGTGAGGTTTAGAGTAATAATTTATTTTCATTACATGGATTGAATCAGGATTATTTGCCTTCAAAAAATATTGAGTCTTCTAGAAAAACTGTATAGAAGTACACCTAAATTGTCATCTAGGCAGCAAATAAGTTTTAGACTTTAATTAGAATTTTACTAGTTTGATATGGTGAATCATTGTTAACATCAATTTAAGTATTGCTGAAAATGCCTGTAAATATTCTAATTTTTATATTGAAATGAGAAATAGCTCTTTGTAATGAATTTAGTTGAATGATATTCAACACATATATTTAAGTGTAAGTGGAAGGACAAGGAAACTAAAGAACTCATCTTTTAATTACTGCTAGTTTTTGTTTTAAAAGAGGGTTTTTTCCCCCTAAACAATCATGTTCTTTTGAAGTTTATTGAGCAGATCGGTAGATTTTTAAAACATAATGTATATGTTAATTTTTGAAGAATTAGAAAGTTCCAGTTTGCATCCCCTAAATCGTAAAGCAGGAACAGGCTTTAAGAATGGCAGTTTCCCCCTTTCCCCCGCCCCTGTGCTGTGCTGTGCTATTTTTTGATCTCTTGCTATGATCAGGCCATACAAAAAGGAACCAAATCTTCTTAACTTTTGGTGGTAGTATAACAGTAGTGGTGTTTTGTAAGTCCATTATTATTATCATTGCATAGTGCACAGTTAAAATAATCTTAGCATTGAATATAGGGAATTGATTAATTACTTAGATTTCCTTTATAGGAATAAGTTATATAGTTTTGTTGAGGGGGAGGATGGAGATTATGGAACCTATTTCTGAAACATACTGTTAAAGTTACCAGGAAATTGGTCAGTTATGGTGGCTCCCGCCTGTAATCTCAGCAGTTTGGGAGTGTGAGGTGGGTGAATCACTGGAGCCAATTAGTTTGAGACCAGCATGGGCAACATGGCAAAACCCCATCTCTACAAAAAATACGAAAATTAGCCAGATGTGGTGGTGCACACCCATGGTACTCGGGAAGCTGAGGCAGGAGGATCACTTGAGCCCAGGAGTTTGAGGCTGCATTGAGCATTGTTTGTGCCATTGCACTCTAGCCTGGATAGCAGAGACCCTGTCAGTCACATAAATACATAAATACGTACATGCATATGTGCATAAATGTTACCAGGAAGTGATTATATCTTTGTTTATATTTTTGAAAAATGAAACAGGAAGATGGATCTGAAGTTGGTGTTGGAGGTGCACAAGTAACTGGCTCTAATACACGGAAACACATACTGCAAGTCTCTACTTTCCAGATGACCATATTAATGCTCTTTAATAATAGAGAAAAATACACGTTTGAGGTATGGGTTTTGGTTATATACATTTTAACTGTGTTATTTCTAACTCTTACTTGAGTCTGTATTGTTTGAGTAACTTTCAGACAGTCTCTTTGGATACCTTTAGCGAAAACCGCATAAAATGGGTCATGGAACTGTGTGAACATCTTACATTTATTGAGTTATGTTTCATTATTTTTAAATTATAGAAGTATTTTAAAATAAAACATGCCTTATATAAGTGCATAATTTGATGAGTTTTAGGTGATTACACCTGTGTAACTATCATCACAGTCAGGAATATTGCCCAAAAATATAAAGTATTACCTCCAAAATTTCTTTGTACCGCTTGCCAGTCCATTCCCTCCTACCACCTCAAGCCTCAGGCAACCAGTGACCTGCTTTATATCACTGTAAATTAGTTTTGTCTTTTTTGGATTCTCATCTAAATGGAATCATATATATTGTTTCTAACCTTTAATCTTTAATCAGTTCACCTGTTAATGGGCATTTGGGTTGATACCACATTTGGGCTGTTGTGCATATAACTACCAAACTGTGTCCCAAAGCAGCTATAGCATTTTTCACATTTGCCAGCAGTGCAAGATGGTCCAATTGCTCCACATCCTCCACAGTCTAGCATTTGAGCCACTTTAGTTGATGTATAATTGGCTCAGTCTGGATTTAATTTCCTTCCTTCCTCCCTCCCTTCGTCCCTTCCCTCCTTCCCTCCTTCCCTTCCTTCCCTTCCTTCCCTTCCTTCTCTCTCTCTTTCTCTTTCTTTCTTTTGATGACTGCTGATGTTGAGCATCTTTTATGTGTTAATATGACACTGATACATCTTGTTTGTTGAAGTGTTTGTAACTTTTTTGGGTTGTGTTCTTACTACCTTGTAAAAGTTGTTTCATAAATTCTGGATACAAGTCCTTTGTCAGATACATGTACTGGGAGTATTTTTTTCAGACTGTTGCATGACTTTTCTTAATGGTGTCTTTTGAAGAGGAGAGTTTTAAAATACTGAAAAAGTCCAGTTAATCACTCTGCTTTTTGTAGTTCGTGCTTTAAGTCCTAAGAAATTATTGCCTACCCTGAAATTGTAAAGATTTACTTCTGGTTTTTCAACAGTTTGTAATTTTAGCTTTTACATTTATGTCTATGATGAATTTTAAGTTTAATTTTTTGATATAAGGTAAGAATTAATATACATTTCCTCTCACATAGTATTTCTTCCAGCATCATTTGTTGAAGGCACTATTTTTTTCCCACTGAATTACCTTGTCATCATTATTTAGAAATCAGTGATCATATATGGATGGGTCTATTTTTATGCTGTCTGGTTTCATTGATTTCTATGTCTGTATGCCAATTTTATGCTGACTCGATGGTGCAGTCATTCTTCTCTTTGCACCCATCTTTTTTCCTAGAGTAATTATTATAATATGCTTGCTTTTTATTTCCCTTTTCCTTTTCTCCCAATTAAAATATGATTTGCTTACATTAAATCCAATTAGTCTTTTTCTATACATTTAAAGGATGTTTTGGGATTAAAATGAAGGTCATGTGATTATATTGGTACTTAATTGAAAACCAGTTTTCAGATACAGATGAACAGAGGAAGAAAAATAGTGTGTTTGAAATTAAGAGCGAGAGTAAATTCTAGGCCTATTTAATAATTCATTTCCATACTCCCATTTATGTGGGAGTATGGAAATTAGTATAAGAGAGGATCATTTTTTGTGATATTGTTAAAGGGAATGTTTGAAATCTAGATATTTTAGTAGCTCAGTGGCTAAATTGAGAGGTTTTTCTCATGTATTTCTATGTGGGTCTTACCTAGGGAGTAACCTTGATTTTTTTTTTTTTTAACCTTTTATTTTATTATAACCTTGATTTTTCAGCCACAGGTTATATTTGATTGAGTCCCAAGAATATTGATCAAGCATTGAGTACCTTACTCACAGACTTTTCAAACAGGTGGAATTAAAATATCTCTCACAGCTGTTTTTGTGTAATCATTTTTTAATCTGCAGTTCTTAATGGATAATATATTTTAAACAAAATTAGCTACTTGGTAAATGCTGGCATTGGTTTTCAGAATCCTGGCTTATAAAGAACTGGTAAAAATAATGGGATAATCAAAAACACAAATTCATTTTTTAAAGCTGTTATTAGAATTGCTGGAAATTTTAGTGCTTCAAGCCTTTCCCTTTCCCAACTGCTTGGGTTCATTGATGCTAATGAGCAGTTAGTTATTAGATGGAAGGTTAAAATTAAGTAGAAAATACCTCTAAGTTTTCCAATTTTAGCTAAGTCACAAAGCAGAAACTGATTGTAGTGTATGTAGAATGCCATCCATGCCTGTGGCTCTAAAGCCTTCTGGCTGCTGACACCTCAAATCTGGGGCACTGTGAGAAGGAACAAGAAATAAATATATCTTTACTCACACCATGTGTTTCTTCTCTACAGTATGCTGCTCATGTTTTATTAGCCAGCGTTTTTACAGAAATCACCTCCACAAATTAGTGGAGATAGTTAAAAGTGTTTAATTATAATAATTTAAAGGAAGGTCAACTCTTATTTTTTAATATTCTATATGAGTTCAGTAAGATGGTGTATTATTTAATGACAAATGACAAATCTCAAAAGTTAGTGATTTAAAACAACCACCAGTGATTTATTATCTCTCATGGTTTCTATGGGTTAGGGATTCAGAAGATAGGTAAGGTAGTTCTGGCTTGGGGTTCATGAGGTTGCAATTAGACGTTGGCTGAAGTTTTGGTCATCTAATGGTTTGGCTCTGGAGAATACACTTCCAAGGTGGTAGCTGTTTGTTCTGGATGTTGTTACGTGGCCTTAGTTTCTCTCCACATGGGCCTTCTCATGTGGTTCTTGGTTCTCAAATCTTGGCTAGTTTTCCCAAGAGCAGGCAATCTAGGAGTCCCAGAAAGAATCTGCAGTGCCTTTTTCATCTATTCTTGGAAGACACATAGTGTCACTTCTCATTTTCTTGATTACCCAAGTCAGCCCTGATAGGGTGAGAGGGCCACACAAGATTAATGTCCAGGGTTATTACAAGCTGTCATAGAAGCTGGCTACAACAGGTGGCATTAATTTGTAGTGTCATATTTAATCTGTAGTATTCAAGCTGCTGCTGTTTTTTTCTTTACATAGGTTTTTTGAATGAATAAAGGTAAGTTTATTGTGATTTAGAATAGCTAAAAATAAGAAATATATACAGTGGTAGTTTGTACCTTGGATTTTAGTAATTAGCAGTGGGTTTTTGAAAGAGGTATGGATAAGAACTAATACGTATTTTTCTTAATGTTCTTTATTTTTTATAATTTTATGAGAATGAGTCTCAAATATAAACTATGGACGGTCGCATTATTAATGTCAGACAGAATTTAAATAGAAAACAGTAATATTTGATATTCATCAATAACTTATAGCAGTCATTAGTGACATAACTTTGTAATATAGAAAGGAAAATAAAGTACAAGGGGAAGTAGACCACTCTAGAATCATGGAAATCCCTGACAAATGTATTGGTTAACCAGAAAATTGAAAATGGGGATATAGAAAATTTGAGTAACACAATAGCAAGTTAAAATTGAAGGCTGTATAGCAAACTTCAAACTCAGAAAGCAAAATAGACATATGCTTTCAGGAACTATCTGAGGCTAGCATAACTTTTTTGCTAAAACTGAGCAAGGAAAAGAGAGAAAGAACGGTAAAATTCAGCATTCTGCCTTGCTCGTTAGAACCTAATACACTGAAAGCATCCATCTTAAATATTAGCAAGTCCTCTTCAGTAGTGTATTGAAAGAATAATGCACTGTGTCCAAACAGGATTTATCCCTAGAATACAAAGAAGGGTCAGCATAGGGAAATTTTTTGAAAACATCATTAAGATATTCTAATAATTGTAAAAATAGGCAGTTGCTGTATTGCCAGTCACCATTTTAAGGCGAAAACCATTTGATCTCTACAAATGAACAAAAGGTATTTTATAAAAGTTTCAGTCCTCATTCCTTATCTAAGTGGGGGACTTCATTGCCACCTTAGAGGGAAACGCCCATAGTGTCATAGCTGGTATCTAATGACAAACTTAAGCATAATAGTAGTTAGTAGGAAAACACTAGACACATTTCTATTAGAGTTAGGAACAAGATGAAAATGCCTGTCACTAATACTACTGTTACTCCTTGCTCTGCAGGTCCTAACTAATACACCAAGAAAAGAAAAAGGAATGAAATTTGTAGGTGTTAGGGAGAGATTGAAAAAAAGTTTTCAAAATCTGTAGAAAATATGATTGTCAATTTGGCAATACATGATGATCAGTGAGAAAACATTTCTTTAGAAGAGTTTTGTTGGGGGGAAAAAAAAATCCTTTCTGTAAACCAGCATGAATCAGTAAATGACAGGAAAGGATGTTTTATTAAGAATCATAACCTTCCCAGGAATCATCCTAACAGGAAATGTAGTCAGGCCACTTAAACCAAGAAGACAGTAAAAGCTAAAGAATACAAAAGGGTAATGTGCCCAAGAATTACATGTTATAAATATGCTGTTTTTAAAAGTCACCTATAAATTCAAGGAAATCTGAATATAAACTTCCAAATTTTTTTTTTAAATAAAACTCAACAAGCTGATTCCATAATTAATCTGGACAAGCAAATCCGCATGAATGGGCAGAACTACTTTCGGAAAGGAAAGGGTCTTGGATAGAAAAGCTCATTGAGAGGGGAAAGAATTTGTCCTAATAGCAAAAGATACCATAACACGTTTTTAAATTTTTTTAATTTTTATGGGTGCATAGTACATGTACATATTTATGGGATATGTGAGATATTTTGATACAAGCATATACTGTGTAATAATCACATCAGGGTAAATGGGGTATCCATCATCTTAGCATTGTTTCTTTGTGTTATGAAAATTGCAGTTGGAATTTGATCTTTTCACAAAATCCCATATTTCTTAGATGCTTTGTTCATTCTTTTCATTCATTTTTCTCCAATCTTGTCTTCACACTTTATTTCGTTAAGTTGATCTTCAGTGTCTGATATCCTTTCTTCTGCTTGATCAGTTTGGCAGTTGATACTGGTATATGCTTCGTGTAGTTCTGGTGCTGTGTTTTCAGCTCCATCAGGTCATTTATGTTCTTTTCTAAACTGGTTATTCTAGTTAGCAGTTCCTATAACCTTTTATCAAGGTTCTTAGCTTCCTTGCATTGAGTCAGAACATGCTCCTTTAGCTCAGAGGAGTGTGTTGTTACCCACCTTCTGAAGCTGCCTTCTGTCAATTCGTCAGACTCATTTTCTGTCCAGTTTTGTGCCCTTGCTGGCAAGGAGTTGAGATCCTTTGGAGGAGAAAGGGCATTCTGGTTTTTGGAATTTTCAGCCTTTTTTGTGCTGGTTTTTTCCTCATCTTTGTGAACTTATCGCCCTTCGATCTTTGATGTTGGGGAGCTTTGGCTGGAATTCCTGTGGGACATCCTTTTGGTTGGTGTTGATGATATTCCTGTTTGTTAGATTTCCTTCTAACAGGCAGACCCCTCTTCTGCAGGTCTGCTGCAGTTTGCTGGAGGTACACTCCAGACCCTGTTTGCCTGAGTATCACCAGTGGAGGCTGCAGACCAGCAAAGATTGCTGCCTGCTCCTTCTTCTGGAAGCTTCCTCCCAGAGGGGCACTGCCAGATGCCAGCTGGAGCTCTCCTATATGAGGTGTCTGTCGACTCCTTCTGGGAGGTATCTCCCCATCAGGACCCACTTGAGGCAGTCTGTCCCTTAGCAGTGCTGGAGCACTGTGCTGGGAGATCCACTGCTCTCTTCATAGCCGGCAGGTCTGAAGTCTGCTGAAGCTGCACCCACAGCTGCCCCTTCCTCCAGGTGCTCTGTCACAGGGAGACAGGAGTTTTATTTATAAGCCCCTGACTCAGGATGCTGCCTTTCTTTCAGAGATGCCCTGCCCAGAGAGGAGGAATCTAGAGAGGCAGTCTGGCTACAGTGGCTTTGCTGTGCTTTGGTGGATTCCACCCATTTTGAACTTCCTGGCAGCTTTGTTTACACTGTGAGGGGAAAACAACTCAAGCCTCAGTAATGGCCGACACCCCCCTCTTCCCCACCTCCCCAAGCTCAAGTGTCCGAGGTCAACTTCAGGCTGCTGTGATGGCACTGAGAATTTCAAGCCAGTATATCTTAGCTAGCTGGGTTCCGTTGGGGTGGGACCCACTGAGCAAGACCATTTGATTCCCTGGCTTCAGCCCCTTTGCAGAGGAGTGAATGGTTCTCTGTCTCGCTGGGGCAGATGCCACTGGGATATGAAAAAAAAAACTAAAGCTAAGCTTGGTGTCTGCCCAAACAGCCACCCAGTTTTGTGCTAGAAACTCAGGGCCCTGGTGTAGGCACACGAGGGAATCTCCTGGTCTGCGGGTTGCAGAAACCATGGGAAAAGCACAGTATCTGGGCCACATGGCACAGTTCCTCAGGGCTTCCCTTGGCTAGAGGAGGGAGTTCCCTGGCCTCTTGTGCTTCCCTGGTGAGGCAGCTCCCCACCTTGCTTCTGCTCGCGTCTTGTGGGCTGCACCCACTGTCTAGAGGCAGCTCCCCAGCTTGCTTCTGTTCGCCCCTTGTGAGCTGCATCCACTGTCTAACCAGTCCCATTGAGATGAACCATGAACCTCAATTGGAAATGCAGAAATCACCCGCCTTCTGCGTTGGTCTCGCAGGAGCTGCACTGGAGCTGTTCCTATTCGGCCATCTTGCCAGATCTCAAATTTGTCATTTCTAAAAACTCAATTTAATTGTTTTTTCTATTTGTGGGAGTGGGAGGAGGGTAGTATTAAGACCTCATTTCCATGGCATTACATCAAATACAGAATTCCACATAAATGCAAAAATGTAAATATAAGTACAAATCTATACAAGTAATAAAAGAAAATATAGAATATTTTGGTAACCTTAACATGAGAAATATCTTTTAAAAAATGTATTACAAAAATAACAAAAAGATTAACAGATTTAACCACATAAGAAGTGATAACATCTTTATGATGAGATACTTTAAGTTAAACATAGAGACTAGGAGAAATTATTTACAACAGCTGAAAACCATGATCTTTAAAGAGCATCAGTAAATCAATACGAAGACAAACAATTGAGGATAAAAACATGCAAGGAGCATAGACAGAGAAAGCACAGAAGACTACAAATATCCTGTAAATATAAAAATATTTTTTCTGGTTGTGGTCATGAAAAGTACAAATTAAAATAATGAGATTTCAGTTTTAGCCCAACATGTGAGCAAAAGAAAAAGAAAATCTGGTGTTGAAGAGGGCGTGGGGGAGTGGATATTCATATACTGTTGTTGTGGGGGGTTAAATTATTAAGCAACTTGAAAGGCAGTTGGTTAGTATTTATCAAATATTTTAAAATATATGTATTATTTGAGACAGGGTCTCAGTCTTTCTCAGGCTGGAGTGCAGTGGTATGATCATGTCTCACTGCAACCTTGACCTCTCAGGTTCAAGTCATCCTCCCACCTTAGCCTCATGAGTAGCTGGGAATACAGGCTAATTTTTAAATGTTTTATAGAGAGCAGATTTTGCTATGTTGACCAGACTGATTTTGAATTCTTGGGCTCAAGTGATTTTCCCTCCTTGCCCTTCCAAACTGCTGGGGTTACAGGTGTGAGCAACCATGCCTGGCACAAATATAAAATATTTATATTTTATATAAAACTTTGAGGAAGCAAGTGCATTTCTAGAAGTATGCTTTGGGAAAATAGGCTTTTGTGCTCAAAGTCAGAAATGCATGTATCAACAGAACATTGGGTCCAGTCTCAATCTTCACTTGTGTCATGATAGAACAGTACCATGGAATCCCTTGTAGCTTTAATCTCTTTGCTATCAGGGAAAAATCTGAAGAAATTATTAGAAAAACTCATGTTATGATCTCATCCAACACTAATACTGGTGTATATAGGTGAATTTGTTCACGTATGTTCATGTATATGCATATACTTGTATTCACATATATAATATAGATGAATAGGAAAAGGCAGAGCAAGGATGAATAGTAATAGTAAAGACAGGCATTCTTATCTTGTTCCTAACTCTAATAGAAAGGTGTCTAGTATACTAACTACTGCTATGCTAACTCTCTCATTTTACACACACACGCACGCACACACAACCTTACGACTTCATCTATTCTTAGACTGCTAAGAATTCCCCACCATAAGGTTTGAGGACTGACTTTCATAAAATACTTTTGGTAATAGTTACCTCTGGGAATGATCTGTAATTTTAAAATATCACCCAAGAAGGTATTTCTGGTTCATTGAATATGATTAAGCAGTAACTGAAGTATGTAAATAAATCACGTTTAGCATGTATGTAATAACATCTCCATTCTAATAGTACCTATTTAATTTTCTGGGATTAACATTTATAGTATTAGAAATGTCTAAAGTAAGTAGATATAACCAGAGATGATTATTTGAAGAAAATGAGTATGTGTAAACACTGAAAATCACATTTCCCTGAATCCTTGCTTACCTAACAGCTTTTTAGAAGAGAACTGTTGCTCAAAGACTTGCCTAGAGAGAATGACCCTCCAGATCAGTTACTCATATAATCTGAATATTATATGAGTCATTCTGCCCACTCTTCCTAAGTTGCTTTTCAGAAAGACTGCTGTATACAGTATATCAAAGCAGTAAATCCTAGTGTGAAGACTTGTATTCAATCACTTATCACTATAGACATGTAGAGACTAAATCATACAACTGTAGATTTTTCTTGCTGTCCCACTGACAACAGAATAGTGAATTTAAAAATGCACAGCATTCTTTCCTGAGCTGCTCTCTCTCCCCTAGTATACATTTTATTCATACCATAATATGCAGAAAAGATTATCACTTGAACCTCAAAACAGAGCTTGTTTTTTGTGTTAATGTTAATTTCCAGGTTTTGGGTTTGGTTTTTTTTTTGTTTGATTTGTTTTCTTCATTTGGTCATAGAAGCAAATACATATGGTCAGTTTGGATGGGTAAATTTTAATTGTATGGTGGAAGGCCTGAGCTCAGGCTTACCTTCCTTTTTTCTGTGAAATAAATTACTAAGCAGAAGAGTAGTATGGATAAACTTGGATGGAAGTTTGTAAAATATTTCTAAAATAGCAACTATATGTTGGTTAACACTTATTTTTACCTAAATGTTAAAACAGGTTCCTGATAACTCTGTGGGGTGACATTTTTAGACTAGCCATTGTGTCTCCTGAAACAAAAATGTATGTGTCTTTTTAATATTTTTTTAGCTTGAATCATGCTTTCCTCAGTTGGTTCAAAAAATGAGATTTTAGTAATGTGTCATAATATTCAGAGAATTCTTTTTTGTGCATTATTTAATGGAATTCTTTTTAGCTACTTGGTCAGTTTACTTGCTAATTAACTAATTAACTTTAATCTTTCAAAAAGTCTAATTATGTCAATCTGATGAAATTTCAGGAAATTCAGCAAGAGACAGATATCCCTGAAAGAGAGCTTGTTAGAGCCCTACAGTCCCTCGCCTGTGGTAAACCAACACAGCGGGTTCTTACAAAAGAACCCAAATCAAAGGAAATAGAAAATGGTCATATATTTACAGTTAATGACCAATTCACATCCAAACTACACAGAGTCAAGATTCAAACAGGTATCTGGAATTATATTTTTCCTCTGAAAAAATTATATCTTTTTCTCTTTAGAAAAAAAAAAATCTTATCTGTTGGATTTCTGTCTTTAAAAATATTCCTTTTCTCGTGCTGCGTGATACTTAGACTTAAGAAAGAAAGCAGCTTTTATTGATAAGTATTTGTATCAAAATGCATTTGAATCCAAGTACAATAAGCATTTTAAGAACCAGTTCATAGTGTTTTTCAACAATAGAATACAATTTATGAACATATTAGTACTTAAAATTGTTTCTAACTGGTTAACTAGTCAGTGGAAGTCTATTTTTAAAGCGGATTTAGAGGTTTTTCGGAATTGGGAGACCTAGATAAAAGTTTGATCCTTGGATGTTGTTATTTACATTTTGACAAATATTTTTTGTTTCAAAATCTTAAAAACCATATCATCCTTAATTTAAAAACATAAAAATGATGCTGATGTGAATGATTTTTTAATAAAGGCTTTTAAGTTGATAATGAAAATTCTATTCATTAAATATTTAACATAATATAAAATGCTTGTTTTCTGTGTATTTAAAGGGGAAAAAAAGGCACTCCACCCTTGCTGATGTTTAAAACTAATTTTTTGCCACTTGGCTTCAAAACCAGTATTAGATAGGCTTCCTAGTACTAATATATCCATTACAGCCAAATATGTGTACAATAAAACAGTATCCTAAGATAAATAACCTTTTAAATGACTGTGATTTGCTGATTATAAAAATGTTATTTATATTATACATTATGATAGTTTGTCAATATATAATTGATTACCAGAATACATGGATTCTAGAGCTTTGTGTACACTTAAAATTTTTTTTTTTTTTTTTTCATTTTAATCTTTTTGTTTTGTATGTATGCTTCGTAGAGCAGAGTAGTGTCTTTGGCAAGGCTTTGCCTCCTTTGTCCTATGGTTGTAAACTATTTCATTGTAATCTGCATTAGCCAAGATTGGTCCATGTCTTGACATAAATATAGAGACTGAAACAAAACTGTGCTAGCGAGTGTCATGGAATAAAATTTCTTTTTCTTCCAATTGCAAGACATAACTACTTTATACATTTGGGCAGATACAGGTTTTGGATTTTAGGGCTCATTTCTATCTTAGAATTGGAGGAAAATATTTATCTGAATTACCTTACCCACCCTGCTATACCCTAAATAAGTAACAGTCTTTGTTATCTAAGATTCTGTCATGCCCAGCAATAATAATATCAGGTGTTAGTGTTATGTTTAAAAAAAAAAAAAAAGTCTTCATAGATTTTTAGATTTTTAAGTGTGCACACTTACATGCATGTATGTATCTGAAATATGTGTATGTAGTGTTTTAGGTATGATCAAAATAGAAATATGTATGCTGGAGAATTTGACTAGAGGAGCTTAAAAATTGTTTTCAGCAATAAAATTCTATAAAACGGTGGGTTTTTTTTCCTTGGGAATTTTTTTTTTTTTTTTTGAGACAGAGTTTCGCTCTTGTTACCCAGGCTGGAGTGCAATAGTGTGATCTCAGCTCACTGCAACCTCTGCCTCCCGGGTTCAGGCAATTCTCCTGCCTCAGCCTCCTGAGTAGCTGGGATTACAGGCACGCACCACCATGCTCAGCTAATTTTGTGTATTTTTAGTAGAGACGGGGTTTCACCATGTTGACCAGGATGGTCTTGATCTCTTGACCTCGTGATCCACCCACCTCAGCCTCCCAAAGTTCTGGGATTACAGGCTTGAGCCACTGGGGAACAGTTTTTAAATGACCTTGGCTCTTAATTGTAATTTAAGTTAAAATTTTCTTTTTGGTGGTAAGTATTGTGACCACATTGATTTTATTGAATTGTCAAAGGCTCAGTAATGTAACCAAATATTCAGAGACTCTGACTTTACCTATTTATGCTGCTTCTACTGTAGCCAGCAATAAAAGTTCAAGCAAAGAAGTTAAAGGAATTACTAAAATAACACAGCCTTTGAAAAGAATTAAATTATAATCTGGAGGGTATTTCCAGAGTTGGCAGTCTTTACCATCACCACCTGACTTTCTCAAATTCCGCCTCCCAGCATGCATATAGGTCATACATAGGCACATGCACAGCAGCATCTTCTGCTGCAGTCTTCCTTAAGTGAGGAATATTTTGTTAGGCTCCAGAGTGAGCCCCTCCCCTCACATTAAAAAAAAAAAACTCATTTTGTATCATCAGCACAATTGGCACATCTGTCTTTTTCCAGCAGGTATTCAAAAAAACACTTAGATGACCAAATCCAGATGAGCCAAAGGTATTCTTTAAACGGTTACTTCTTTTTTCTCTGCAACTTTGTATTTTTTATTTTCAAATCCACAAAAAAAGTGAAAAACACTATACTGAACACCAGTATAGCTGTGACCTATGTTTGCCAGTCATTAGTATTTTGTCTTCCTCTCTGCCTCCCTCCCCGTGTATGTTTGTATGTTTGCTGCAGCATTTGAAGTTACTTTACAAACATCTCAACAGTTTCCCCCTAAAAAACTTTAGCACACATCTGATATATCACATCAAAGAAAATTAATTCGATACCATCTATTTACCACCCATATTCCCTCTGTTGTCTCAGAAATTTCATTCATATCTTGCTGTTTGGACCCATGATTCCATCAGGATTCCCACATTACATTTAATTTTTATGTCTTTTTTAAATTCCGTTCAATTGAAACCAGTACCCCTATCTTTTTTTTTCATGACATCAACTTCTAAGGAAAAACGTCAATATTAATAGACTGTTTTAATCAATTTTTTTTTTTTTTTTACTAAGATACTGATTATCTTACACTTGGGAAATGACACTGAAAGCAGTATTTTTAGCCAAAGGATTCTAATTAGAAACAGCTGAATGGATTTGCACACCAGAATGATCTTCTAAATTGTACAATCTGCTGTCTCGTGGCTATCTATGCCCATGCCTCAGTCAGCAATGACCCATGTGCTGCTTTGCAGTTTCACAATTTCTACCTCCAGAAACTTCACATCTATCTCCTTTTGATGAACAAATAAAAAATCAGTTTTCTTTTTCTGCTGTTTGATTTAGAAAAGAGTTGTAGGAGAAGAGAACTTCTATGTTTAATCCCTTAGCAGTTGCTTTGAAGACTATAGGGAAGAATAGAGTAAGACCCTAAACGTTGGAATCTGGTGTGAAGTTGTGATGTAAAAAGTGTAATAAAATAAAAAAATTTGTTAGATAACAGAACTCTAGGAAGGTTTTTGGCAAGGAGATTTTAGGAACTGACATTCTAGTGGTACTTTTAGATTATTTATTTCACTGACTGAATCTTGGCAATGCATACTCTTATTTCCTCATAAAGCCTTAAAGATTACATTTTGAGTTAGTAATCTTTCCCTATAAAGCCTTAGAGCTACATTTTGAGTTAGTAAGACAACAGATATTCACCTGTGATACTTCTAGTGAGTTTTAATTGGGAGCCATGGTAATAAAATATCAGTTGACCTCTGACAGTCATAAGCAATGAAAATTATTTACTGGTAGTTTTACTAAAGATTTCTAGCTACTATTTTTCTTCCAGGTAAGAAATTATATTCTGCATAAGAACAAAATATTATCTCAGGAAAGTTAAATTCCTCATTTTTGAAAAAGGATAATTTAGTATTCAAGTAAGCATTAAATAAGACACTTTTTGAAAGTGTACTTGAATTGATAAGTGTGTGTATTCAGAGGCAGAAATTGGTCTTTCTCTGTGGATTACACTGAATTATATTAAACTTGCTTATAAACCAATTTTTGAAAATACATTTATGGTAAATGTGTTTATTTCTATTTTAGTTGCTGCCAAACAAGGTGAATCCGACCCAGAGAGGAAAGAAACAAGACAGAAAGTAGATGACGACAGAAAACATGAGATAGAAGCTGCTATAGTGCGAATAATGAAATCTAGAAAGAAGATGCAGCACAATGTTCTAGTAGCAGAGGTGCGGACTCTTCACAACTGGGCTAATATAGAAAAAGCAGTAACATTATTAACAAAATGATTCTATTCAACTAGTTTTAAAAACAATTTTACTATTAGGAAATTCTATTGATGTAACACTTAATGAAAGGTATGGCACTCAGTAATTAAACATAGTGATACACCCAAATTATGTGCACACTTTAGGAACTAATGTGTTTGTAATGAAAATGACAGAATATTGTCACATGAGGTATTAAGAAAAAATTTTCACTGCTATTTTTAATACCTTTGTGTAAAGAAACTAGTAACTACTAACCATTCATTGAGTGCTTTCATTTTACAAATTGGGAATCTAAGGAGGGGAAGACATCTTAGGAGGCCATTAAAACAGGTGAGAGAGATCAGGCACTGTGGCTTACGCCTGTAATTTCAGCACTGTGAGAGGCCGAGGATTCCAGCCTGGCCAACAGAGTGAAACCCCGTCTCTACTAAAAATACAAAAAAAGCCGAGCATGGTGGCGGGCGCCTGTAATCTCAGCTACTTGGGAGGCTGAGGCAAGACAATTGCTTGAACCTGGGGGGCGGAGGTTGCAGTGAGCCGAGATTGTGCCACTGCATTCCAGCCTGTTGACAGAGCTAGACTCCATCTCAAAAAAAAAAAAAATTGGTGGGAGAGGATTAGGACCTGGGTAAAGTATTGGTAAAAGATAGAAAGCTGAATCAAGATAATTGGAAAGTAGAATTGACAGGCTTTATTGATTGATAATGGGAAGTGAAAGGGAGAAGTTAAAGACATCTCCTAGATTTCTGGCTTGAATGAGTAGCTAGAGATTGGTTTCTTAACCAAAAAGCAAAGGGTAATGTAATGTGCCGCTGTGGTCCAGAAGTCACTTTAATACTGTTTTGTACTAGTTGACTTTATTGTATATTGGCACTTCCAGGGGCAGGTGGAGGTCAATAGACACATGAGGGCTACAGTTGCATTGGGAATTAGCTGTATGAGAATGCAGTTAAAACCACAAGAAAGAACCATAGGATAGACTCCTCCCTCATCATTTTAGGAACAGTGAGTGTAAACTCTTCAGAGCACTGGTTTTCAGTGCCGTTCTTGGAGCAGCTGCATCAGCATCACTTGGGAATTCCTGAGAAACACAGATTCTTAGGTTCCACCAGAGCCTGAGAATTTAATCAGAAACTCTGGGGATAGGGCCCAACAGTCTGGTTTTTTAACACGAGCTGTAGTTGATTCTGATGTTTTTTCAAATTTGAGAACACTGCTTTGGAAGGAAAAGGAAACAAAATACAGTGCCCTATGACAAGGGAAGAGAATTACAAAGAGTGAGTGGTAATATCAAAAATCATGGAAAAGCCAAGTTGAATAAACACTTACTTTGGCAATTATGTGACAGGTTAGCTTTCTCAGACATTTTCACTGAACTGGTAAAAGTGGCTGTCCAGTGGTAGTGCCTTGAGAAGGAAGTGGAAGTGGAAGACACCAAGAGTGGCTTATTCTTTGAGGTATTGGCTCAAGGGAAAGGGCAGAGAGAGCAGTATTAGGATTCAGTGTTGAGCTGAAGGGTTTGGGCCTTTTCCCCCAAAATTTGGGAAGATAGCATGCTTATATTCTAAGAATAAGGAGGGGATCCTTAAAAATAAATGGAAAAAAAATGAGATGAAAGGATAATACCACATTATAGAAAAGGAAAAGTGAGGATCGTATAGAGAGTATGGTGATGGTAGATGTACTGACAGATGTTACTGAACATGCCTCTTCTGAGAACCCAGGGCAGGGTGTGGGGATGTGTGCTAAGCAAGGTTTTGTGTGAGTATAGATAAATGTACATGTGCTAGGGTGGGAATTTGAAGAACTTGGAATTAAAATGGCTTCTTTTCTCTATGTAAAACCTGATTAGAGGTTATGGTGTAGGACTGGGTTGAGGAGTTTAAGGGGATTGTCAGAAATTTAAAATACCTGTCAAAGAATGGTGCTCAAGAACTTCTGAACTTTGTAACACTATAAATTTGTGTTACTAGTCTACACCAGAGATTGGCAGATATTTTTGTAAATGGCCAGTTGTAGCATGAAAGCAGCTATAGGTAATACATAAATACATGTGACTTGCAATGGCTCACGATTGTAATCCCAGCACTTTGGGAGGCAAAGGTGGGTGGATCACCTGAGATCCAGGAGTTCAAGGCCAGCCTGACCAACACAGAGAAATCCTATCTCTACTAAAAACACAAAAAATTAGCTGGGTGTGGTTATGGGTGTCTGTAATCCAAACTACTTGGGAGACTGAGGCAGGAGAATCACTTGAACCCGGGAGGCAGAGGTTGCAGTGAGTTAAGATCCCACCATTGCACTCCAGCCTAGGCAGCAGAGCGAGACTCTGTCTCAAAAAAATAAATAATAAAATAAATGCATGTGACTGTGTTTCAGTAAAATTTTACAGAACAGGTAGTGGACTGTATTTGGCCAGTGACTGTAGTTTGCTGACTCCTGGTGTACAGAGATGGTGTAAGAACTACAGCTTTACTCAGCAAAGAGCTCTGTGGCAGGTTAATAGTGATATACATATAGAATATAGGTTTAATCAAATAGTGTTTATGGGATAGGACCAAAAGAATCAGGGAGTAGAAGGTCCTGTTGAGAGCGCAGCTGAAGTGATCTTGAATGCAGTTTAGGCCCAGTAAGCAGGGAGAGAGAGCAAGTCAATGGGAGCTGTTAATAGGCTGGAAGAAAAGGGCAAAGGGTGGGAGATCTCAGGTGGTGAGTTGAGAGCCAGTTTCTTGATACTGGAGTGGTAATCCTGGAAGGGTGATAAATTGTAGTTGCAGAGTGAAGTGCTGACTTTTCAGATTTCAAAGAATTACCAATCTCTTGTGGCTTTGGGAAATGAACTGATCAACAAAAGTAAAAGCAAAGCTGGTTCATGGATGGATGGATTAGTGGAAAGAACATGGACTTTGAGGTCAGAAGGGTTTAGAGTCATTTCTGCTGGCTCTGTTACTTACTGCTTGGTCATGTCAGTTTTCTTCTCTGGCTTATTTTCCTTATTTGTAAAATGAGACATGCAGAATGACTGATGAATAGTGCATAGTCAGACTATAACTGCTGCTTTACTGTTAACTATTTTATTATTACTTATAGCACAGTACTTGGAATCCTGATAGTAGTTGAAGAAAAGAACAACAGAAGCACCAACTGGATTGCGCATTATTCTAAGGCATTACGTCTGTTAACACATTTAGTGTACATAACAATGGGCCAGGGTCCCAGAGCTAGTAGTGGTAGAGCTGAGTTTATCCAGGTACTCTTGAGTCCGAGTTTGTGTTTTTAAATACATAGGCTACCCAAGTTCTGTGAGTTGCGAGTGTAACCCAGAAGTCAGTAGATAACAGCATCAGAACAGTTATAAGTAGTATATACTCACACTGACATAATTCCAACTAATTCAACTCTTCAACTGCTGTTCACTTGAGCATTCACATTCTGGTTTGAGGAAGTGTGTTGTAACCATACGTGTTACATTTTCAGACAGAACCTTTTTAGAGTTTCTGTGCTTTTAGCTTTGGTAATCCAGTTAGTAAAGTTCAGTGTCTGAGTGTTAAAATGACATACCAGTTCTGCTCAAAGATAGGAATTTTTATGTGTTTATATAAAAATGCTATCTATTTTCTTTTTTAGGTAACTCAGCAGTTGAAGGCTCGATTCTTACCAAGTCCAGTTGTTATTAAGAAACGTATTGAAGGACTTATTGAGAGAGAATATTTGGCACGAACACCTGAGGATCGCAAAGTATACACATATGTAGCATAAAATGCGTTCAGAAATTTGATTTATTCTTGGACTGTACTCTTCGCATGGACTGGGAAGTTCTTTTAAATCATTAAATATTAAGACGACCATCTCTTCTATTAAATTACAGTACATGTTCTAGACCATTCAGATCAAGCCTTTACTCCCTTTGAGAGTTTTCAACATCAATTGATTGAGCTTCAGGCTTTACAACGTTTATCCCTGTAGAGATCATCTTTACAGTTCCTCGGGAAAATGTGAATGTGCTGCGTTTTGTTTTCTTTACTGTATGAAAACAGGAAAAAAAAAAATAAAACAAAAATTTAGACAATACAGCTCATTAAAATAAAATTGTTGGATTTCATTTCCCCAGGTCTTCAGTGTTGATGTAAACGTGTTTTTGTAGTGTTGCTTAGCACTTTGCGCATTGTGTAAGTTGGGTAACAAAAATGGCAAAAGAGATGCAGAATTCCCAGTGATCGTGCTCTGAAGACATTTCTTTAGCTAGTCTTATTTAATTTAAAGGTTCGATAAATATACAAAGACCCAAGCATACACTTTGAGCATGCTGTAATCTACCACTTGCACTTACTAATCTTCTAGCCTTATGACCAGGAACCTTTGTTTTGGGCTCAAGTACACATCCTGATTTGATTTTTCCCTATTGTAATTTGAGATTTCCCAAATTAAGTCTTATAATGATTAGATTTTGTTCTGAGTTATTTCTAGAGAAAGAAAATATTTTAGTATGTATAAATTGTAAAATAATTTTTTTGCTTGTTGTACTCACTGCTAATAGTGGATTGTATAGGGTGGTGTGGTGGTGTTTTTATTTCATTTATTGTAGACAAAAATAAATGAATTTAGTATACACATACCCACTAATTCAATTATGTCAGAGCACAAAGTTGGCAGCTGGTTATATTTAATTCAGCCCCTCTGAAAAGCACATACAGTCTGTACTTTGTTTATGAGTATCTTAGGCCCTCTGTGCCCCCAAATATATATTTTGGTGAAACTGTGGTGCACTATTAATTTTCTGTTACAAAATGCAGTCTAAAGATGCAATAAATATGATGACCTTGATAGTTTTAATGAAATACTCAATTCCTGCAGCTAACTGTGTTTCGGAAAGTGATTAAGCAATATTTCTCAAACCTGATGATTCTTGGATATTTAGCTATTGTCCTCCAAAGAGTCATCATTTCACGTTTTCAAAGATGTGCTTTGTGCTGAGGATAATTGTCAGATATCCTGTGCTTCCAGAGTATTTTTATCTTCAGTTTTATTTTTGTTTCATTTTGTTTTCATAAGACAATGTTTCAGATATGTAATGGGGCAAACCACTATAGATTTCTGTTGGATAGAAAAATGAAATGTTACTAATAAGTTTAAATTGACCCTTCAATGACTATCAGTACTGTTGATATACTAAATAGAATGTATGTCTCAGAAGATGATTTCTGTTTAAATTTATGGTCAAGTTACAACAACTGAATTCTAATATGGATTAAAAACTCCACGTAAATATTTTTCCCCATGCGTCTTGGGTTATAATTTTCCTTTTAGACTTGCAAATATGCTTTTATTGCAATTTTGTGTACTGTAGAATTGCAAGCCTTGTGCTCTTAATCTCTACATTTTCCACTTCCACATGATGCAATTAAGATGCTAATCAAAAATATTGTGAACATTATTCTCAGGACACTTTTACCGTACTTGAGCAGTAGTAAGTCAGGTGTGACATGGAAAGCTAAGCGTTTCACCTTCTGATTTTCACATAATTGGAAATTTTCTATAATGGTAAGGTGTTTATAGGAAATTAATGGTATTTTGGGTTTGAGAATTTTTTTAATGCTTTAATTTCCCAATTAAACGATACTTAACACCTGAGAAAACAGGACAACTCAGATTGTAAAGTTAGTAAATATGAATGATATAAAAATTGTATTCGAAATCTCCTAAGTGAAACATTAAAACAAACATTAGTGCTATTTTAAGCCAGTAAAAGTAAAATCGATGTTACTATGTGAAGTGTGGCTGTACAAATCAGATCTAGAGTTTAGAGACATACTTGTTAATTTTGGAGCACAGGTTTGATATTTACGCTTCTAAATATATTAGAACACATTTCTGAATTGCAGTTGAGTTGAATGGCTGGGGAATGCTGGTGGTGTGGTGGTGCACTGAAAAAATAGGTCACACAAAACATTTACGTGTTTGACCTCATAAGTATTATTTTAGGTCATAAAGCTTATAAAAAATACATTTAACATTGCTTTCTTTTTAGCAAGAGGTCTTGGAAACGTTTATGTGCTTCATAAGTATTATTTTAGGTCATAAAGCTTATAACAAAATACATTTAACATTGCTTTCTTTTTAGCAAGAGGTCATGGATGCTGTTTTTTTTCTCAGTTTTTAATGCTTTAATTTGAAAGAAAAATGCATCCAAACCATTTCATCCTGTCAGTACGAGAAATTTTGGTGATTTATTAGAAGAGTTTTAAGGAGGGTGGATATGTAGTTTTTCAACTGCAAAAATGATATAATCTTTGTTCAGTAATTGTTAAAGCTGCCTTCATCATGAAATCCAGGACAGTGTTTATTTTGAATTGCTACATTATTTAAAGACTGAAAATTCGTTGCAATTAGGGAACACACACCCTCACAAAATAAAAAGTGGTTGTGATTGCAAGGATTCTTTATGTCAGTGAATTTAAAAAGGGAATGGGGGAGGGGATGCATGCCTTTCTAAAGGATATGTCAGAGTCACCTTTGTAACATTGTAATTACAGACATGTACTACTCTCAAACCCCCCACATGCTGATCATATGCTTTCTTGCTAAGAATAATTCTTGTAGTGAAACACTGTTGATATTTTGTTCACCAGCCTGTTTTGGGTAGCAGGAAAGGCTTAGAACCAACGATTTTAAGATTATGCCTGCATCTCTAGAAGACTAGCACACTGGTATCATCTTGGGCTTCTAAATATTTAATTCCTCAATTTGGAAAACAGTTTTAATGTTTACGGTTTAAAATACTCATTTTCAATACTGACTAGTATTAAAGGATTTTTATCTTTGTCTACTGTAACTTAAGACTTCTATAGAATAACTTTTTTTTTTTATAAAGTATGTGGTGTATTGTCTCAATCTTGAAAGCTGCTACATAGCAATTGTAGGTCGTGTATTTTACTTTATGTTGCTGAGTGTTTTACATTCTATAAATATGAATGTTAAAACATTTCAGGTCAGCAAAATTAGTAGAAATCATTTCTAGTCCCCAAAGCAGAAATAATTAGAATTGTTAATAACATGTAACTGCTTACCATGTGCCCCATACTGTTCTGAATGTATTATGTATATTCATTTAGTTGTCACATTGGCTTTATGTGAGAGAAACATTATTATACCAGTGTTGTCCAAGGTTACTAGTAGGAAATGGCAGAGGCAGGAGTTGGAGCTAGTTAATCCTATCCATATTCCATAGTACAAATTGACATGATTTTCCATATTAAGTTTTCACTTATTTTGTACCTCATTCACATGAATAGTAATGTGGCAAACTAGAGCTAATACGTAAAGCATTGCAGTGTGGCATTTTGCATATTTCTTTTAGCTTTGCTGATAAATTTTGGTAGGAAGGAAAACACGGAAGGTGATGTCTGCTACTCTGGGATGTGTCCATTGAAAAGAAAATAGGCGCTTTGTCTCCCACAAGTGTAGAGAAAGTTTTACGTAAGTTGGTGCCACAGATAGGTGTGTAACTTAAATTCAAATCTACAGTTTTTAAAAAATGTTTTCCTTTGAGTGCCTTTCTTATGTCAAATTGCTGGAAGGAAGAGGAAACGTAAGAATGGCGAATAATTTAACAGGTAATGATACAGAGATTGGCCATCAGACTAGCTCTCAGGAGAAAAACAACTAGGATGTCTTGAAACCTTGTGTATTTAATCTTAGAAATGGCAAATCTGTAAGCGTGTCATATAAGTAATTTGATCCTTGGTTTTAGGGTCCAAGTTGACCTCAAGTGAGCCATGCAAAAATAGCTTTAAAATTAAACATGAGGAGCCCAAAGTAAACTTGTGTATTTTTTAGTAACAATGAAATTGTCAAATTTAGAGATTTTAATAGGACAGTTCAACTAATAAACTTTATTGCATACAAGATTCATTTCAATGTGGGAAAATTAAAATTCTCAGTCTCAGAATTCTTTCTGCAGTTGTGATTCTTGAATAAATGCCTCAGCACGATGTCTGGTATGCAGTGGGTGTAGGCACTCAGTAAATCTCAGATGAATGTGCTCAATGATCACAAAATATCTTGAAAGAAAATCTTTTAAAAATTGAACTTCACAAATTAAAATTTGTACTGCACTGTTGGGGCTATGACAGTATACGGATGATATTTTTCATTTCTATAAATAGAAATTATTTTCTTTGACTTTAGGTTAAAAAGTGGAAAATATAGACGAGCCCTTAGGTGGTTGCAGATTTGGGTGTTTGGGTGGGTGGGTGTGTGTGAACAGCATATCTCTCTGTTGCCCAAGATGGGGTGGGTGTGTGTTGCCCAGGATCTCTTGGAAAATAGACCAGCCCTTAGGTGGTTGCACATTTGGGATGTGAGTGTGTGTGTACAGCATCTCGCTCTGTTGCCCAAGTTGGGGGTGGTGGGTCTTGCCCAGGATCTCTGTTGCCCAAAATGGTGTGTGTGTGGGAGTGGAGGGAGTGGACAGCATCTCAATCTTGCCCAAGCTGGAGTACACTGACATTATCGTGGCTCACTATAGCCTCAACCTCCTGGGCTCAAGTGACCTCCCACCTCAGCCTCGAGTAGCTTGCCACCATGCAAGCTACTTTTTTTTTTTTTTTTTTTTAAGTAGAGACAAGGTCTTGCTGTATTGCCTCGGCTGCTCTCAAACGACTAGGCTCAAGCAATCCTGCCTTGGCTTGCCAAAGTTCTAGGATTATAGGCATGAGCCACTGCGCACCCAGCCAGCATAGTGTTAAATGTTGATTTTTAAGCCCTCTTGCGTAGCATCACTGTGATAAGAACTTTACCAGTATTGGATCATTTGATCCTATGGAGATTCTGTGAAAAACCTCTTAGTGACAATTTTTTAATGAAATCCCACTAATAGTTAATGGGGTGCAGGAATTTGGACCCGAGTCTCTTAATTCCAAAACCTGTGCTTTTAAAAGTGTGTGTCCCAATTACTGGTGGTTTGGGCAGACTGCACAGAACCTTTTAAACTGAATTTGGATCTGAAGGTGGATTTTCTTGGCACGTATTTTGGTGAAAGTTTGCATTGTTTTATTAGAAAATGCTTTTGGAGAGTTTGATCTTGTAAAACTTTATAAATCC